TCTGACAGATTCCTCTGAGAGAAGCTTTTGGTGGATGACCGCACAGAAAACGCTCAGCCAGTTGCTGTCATGTGTGCCACGGCTTGAGCAACACATTCAGTCATATGCCTGCTGTGCTCAGCAGCAGAGACACATGCAAGGAAGGACACAGTGTTTTTTTAGACTGCTGTACAGTAAAGAACGATGCTGCGCTAATTTAACCGCTTCCTATATGTGACCACACAGATGCATGACAGACAGAGGGGCAGATGTGGATGAATCACTGCTGATGTGTCTGCTGCTGGCACTCTATACTCTGTGTTTGATGTGCATTGCTGGTATTTAACTGTGTGGTTTAGACTCAGTGTGCTGAAACCAGTTTGGGGAAATGCAGTTCAGAAGCATCCTGCTGCAGTAATGTAGGTAACATGAAACTAAAGCCGTATCGCAGGATAAGGATGAAACCAGCAGGAGAAATGAAACCTGGCTCTGCTCAAAGGCAGCAAAACACTCCGACCAGCGTTCACCCGTTTACTGGGTTCAAAGTAAAGAAAGAGAAACAACTGTTATCAAACTACATGCAACTTCTGCTTTGGCGTCACTTTTCAGGCCCAAACATCCATCTTCGTGTTGATGGGCTGCACGAAAGATCTCGGAGGTCCTAAATTATAAAGTTGTTGTTTCTGTAGCAGCTCGTCCATGGCAGCGTTTTTTGCCACGTCAAGTGAGGAAGGATTCTGGACACGGGAAAATAAATTGAACTCATCTGAGCTACAGCCAGTAAGAGTCCAGGTATTAAGATGAGCACACGTGCAGAAATCACACCACAGACACACCAGCAAAACCTCCAGAATCCAGAGCGAACTTGAGATGTTTGTGCAGCAGTTTTGTACTGCTGTTGCATTATCATGTGAAGAAGCTGCTTTTAGTTGCTCCCTTATTCACACAGACCTGCCACAGTGGGCACATATGTAAACGTCCACACATTGTGTTTTAAAGTTGTAACATATTAGTGCATCACAGTTTACGTGCATTTTAAATCTGAACCTGCAGAGTAATAAAAACCTAAATGTCATGATGTAATTCCTGAGGTCAGACTATCACAGCTCTGCCTGTTCAGAGTCCTTCAGTCTTATCAATCACATGAACACTGATTGACTCAGGGTCAGTGTTCATGTATATTCATGTGGCCCGTCTCTGCTGCTCTGTATGTTAGTGCGGTCGTTTAACGCTAGATTTCCCTGAAGTGACAAAGCCGTCACGCAAGCTATATCACATAAGCTCTGCCAGTATTCCAGAAGACAGGTCTGTCATTAGTACTATAATCTCCAATTCACTTTAACTTTATGAACCACCTGATTGTAATCTCATCAACAAGGCCAGCCGTCAGAGTGTTTCTTCTCCAATAGGTCATTTCCATATGTGGACCTGTAAATATGACTCTTCTCTGCCTTCTGTGTACAATATTGTATAGGTGTGCTGGCTGCGTCGCTGTCGCTTTTCAGGTATGGGTTGTTCTAAGGCTGTATCTGCTCACCAGAGGTCTTAACACCTGAAGGATGGCCCTACATCAAGAAAAAGAAATGTCTTATGTACTTATTGTATGTAAACCGCGCTTAGGAAAAGCCTTAGATACCGACGCAGCGAATATTTCATGCACCCGTCTGCAATTTCAGTACATAGAGACCAAGACAAATAAGCAGTTCAAGGAGGGAGTATCTTATCAGTATCTACTTTTCATGATGCTAACGCGCATACTTAGTCGCACATTGTATTCAGCCTGCTATATTTTTATCAAGAATAAAGTAC